ATTTTTTATTGCTTGATTTTTCTTTGCTCGTCAATAATTTATAGTGGTTTTTTAAGAATGGAAGTAACTAACATAGTTTGCTGAATGTTTCAGGTTACCATCGTGGGATTTGCCATACCACCCACCAAACATCAAACATTATTTTTCCTAAAAATAAATCGAGTGTTAATAAAATTTGATTTTAAATGATATTACTTTTAAATCATGATAGAGTACAATACTATTCCCGAACTCCTACTCCAATATCATATTATTTTCTAATTTCATATCATCCACACGTTCATCTTTTCATTCTTCATTTCATTCGTAGAAACTAATTATCTTATAATGTTTTTTAATGATTCTTTTATTTTTTTAGGTATTAAGATTTAATCAATTATTGTTGAAACTCTTAATTTTATTTTATTTTGTTTTAGGATATGATTAATTCCAATGCATTTGTAAGTATTGGATTTTCATATAAATAAGGGACATGCTTTCGTTGCATTCATTGCATCTTTGCAAATTTAAACTAACCGTTCTTTTTTCTTTTTCAGGTTCGTTTCCAGTTTCTTTTTTCAATGGGTAGCGGGTAGATTCTTTCTTTGCGAAGAAAGATTTACTTCAGGGATGCGACCCTGCCCACGCGAGTCATGATTTTCTCCTATTTCCATTGATTGGGAGAAAATCATGTCCTTACCTAGAATTCCCCAACACCCAACCCCACACCAAACGATCCTATTTTTTAATATTTTGTTGGCAGGATGAATTATGGAGACGATGCAAAATTCTTTTCAACAAGAAATGAAAGGGTGATCAAAAGTGGACTGAGGTATGGTAAAAACGGTAGTATTTGAATATGTTTATTACTTTCATATTGAATCGAACTCGTAAGAAAAATCATTATTAATGAACTTTCATGTTTTTACAAGTACCATAGATCAGTACAAATTTTTAAAGGTACCATGGATCTTTTTACAAGTACCATGGATTAGTCGAAATTTTATAGGTACCATAGATCAGTTCAAGAGAAGGCGGAAACGGACTAAAAAAGGACTGGAGTTCTGGTAAATTGTTGTAGAAAATAATTATTTCTATAAGTAAATGAATATTTTTAATCAGCTTATTGTTTCATATAATCATTCCGTCCAAGAGGAAGGGGAAGTGAATTAGAAGATGACCAGAAGAGGACAGAGTTATGGTAAACGCTAATATAAAATAATTATTTCTCAATATAGATGAAGTATTTTAATCCATTTATTGTTTTCCTTGTAACATTGCACATGTATGATAGTTATTTTTAATGCACTTTCTTTTCTTTTTCTTTACAGATATTTAGCATAAATTATGTATATTTATTTTTATTATACTATATTTTAGGTAGATTGAAAATTATTAAATATAAAATATTCATTAATTTTAATCTTCGTATGTGTATCTATTAAAATTATTTTAAAGTGTATTAGTTTTCACTAAAATCATGGATGTTACTTGAGTTTTTTTTCAGATTCATTTCTCATTTTCATTTCCTTATTCAGTATTCAAACTTTTCTCTTTATTCTCGATAATTATTATAAGGTTTCTTGAATGTAACTCTTAAGGTGGGGCCTAAGAGTGGGGCTCATTAAAAAACGTTCTCAAGGTGATGATTTTCTTTGGTTTCAATCTAATTCGGATGGGGACATCTTCAGGATGCACATCCCGGGTCTACAGAAGCGGTTACCTCCTCGTGGTTAGACCTGGGCAATGGTATTTTACTTTCAGTATAATGTTTAACATATTTTATATATGTTATACATTCCATTGCAAGTAAAATCTAGCCAAAGACCGCTTACCATAAACATTATAATTGTAATTAGTTTCTTTTAACTTCCCACCTTATATCATATTCCTTTACTTCTTTCCTTGATTCCTTCTATCCATTTAATATACAGAAACTAATTACTTTATAATGTTTTTTAATAATTTTTATATTTTATAGGTACCACACCGCACTTTTTAAATAATTTTTTTAATGTGATTTTTATTTTATTTTGTTTCAGAAAAAATTCATCTTAATAGACTTAAAAGAATTCAATTTTTTGAAGTTTATTTTAGAATAATTTTTAATATAAATCTTCATAAAAATTTATTTAAATTAAATAATAAAGTTTAGATATTATTTATTATAATAAAACTACAAAAATATTTAATAAAAAAATTCGGATAATGTTATATCTCGTTCTATTTCTTTTTTAAATCTCAATCTTCCTTTTGTGTTTCGAAGTATTTCTTTTGTTAACGAAATTACAGCAAGTGTGGAATCATCGAGCAAATCTTGCATTAGAATAGTATATATCAAGGATAAAGATAGTTTATCATTCCACTGCTTTTCAATTTTTAAGATATATATAGTTATATCTGAATAATAATAAACAAGATCTCCGAAAAGAGCTGTGCTTTCAATTAATAAAAATAAGGCTACAGGATAAACAAAAGTCATATCAATAACATGTATTGTTAAAAATGAATTATATAACATTTATTCTTTGCAAAATAATTTACTCACTTTTTGCAAATATAAATATAAAGCATATAAGAGTTGAACTTACCATTTTGAACAATTTCTTGTTTGTTAAAAGTCTTATCATTAATATGAATTCTCTCCTTTTGTAATGTTGCTATACTTTCGTTAATGTTATTTACTATATTTGCAAGTAAATGTTTGATCATTGTAAATTTTAAATAATAAATATCTTCTTCGTGTAAAGTTTTAAGAGCTTCTGCATATTTTTGTCTGCGTGTCGTCAGCTCTTTTCTAACTATAATATATATATATAAATATATATAAATAAAAGTTTCTACTAAATTATTATGTAGAAAAAAATATTTAAATAAAGTATTTTAATACATAATAATGATACGTACAGTGATTTTTATTAAATTCGATTTTGGAAATAGTAGTTACGAACGGATCGAAATTAATATTTTGTTCCTTGGAACTTGTAGTTTCCTTGGAACTTGTAGTTTCCTCATTAGCATACACGATCTTTAATAGCACTAAATAACACCCAATATATAGTGAATTTATTTGCATGATGACTTATAATTAGTAAAGATATATCTGAATATAATTAAGAACGTAACAATGATGTATTCGGTAGCTAAATATACAGTGATATTCTTATGTAAATGTTAGCGTATAAATATGTATTTACTGAATTTATATACTAAATATGTATTACTGAATGTATGATAGAAATTAAATGACACTTCTAAAGATGTAAACAATAAACTATAAGTTAATTATAAATTTTATAAGAAATGTAAGCAAATATCAAATGTCGAAACGGATAGAATTCATAATTATATGTATTTTTACATATAATATTAACATTTATATTTCTAATACTCTATTAATACTAAAATTATTGTTTTAGAATTTCATCTTACAAGCTAAATTAAAGCAAAAGTAACAATTTCTGATAGAAATTATATTAAGATATTTATGACAAATTATTAGAAGCTTCTTCTTATAATAAAAAAAAAATTTGTTTCAATGTATAAATATAAACGTTACTTTTAACGAATTTCTCAAAGTCATGTAGAATAATATTGAGACGATATGTCCCTTCTAATCGTTACAATTTGATTTGTTTAAACGTTTTATTTTATCGTTTAAAATCTTCCAAATATTTGTTTTCAGATAAAATTTGAATAAAGATGTTTTTTTTTAATACTTTGGTAATAGGGATACTTTTATTTGTAATAGAAATATAGGGCTGTAAAAAAAAAGCCAAAGTAAAATGAGTACTACTAAGGTATATTAATCATATTGAGTCGTGACGATCAACAAATAGCGTTTCAAACGAAATATAATACAGTTATAAATATATCCTAAAGAGGTATTTGATCCTTCACTTTTCTCATGCTGATGATGAATAAACAATACACCTCAGACAATTTTTTATGCGTTCAATTATTTTATGCTCGGGAACACGCAAAGTGTCCACGAATTATTCATTTTTTAAACAACTATGGTAGAGAAAATTCAACATCGAAAGAAAAACAAAAGTAAGCGTATGCAGGACATAAAGCCTACATGCAAAAACATACAACAAATATGTATAATTATCTAAACAAATAGTTTTAGAAAAATTCTTATCAATGTTTATTTTTGGTGGAATAAAATCAACAATAAATGTTTGTAAAACAGTTTATTTATTATACAAAGTAGCTTGAAATAATTCATAATTTATTGAGATTATCTCTGAAATGATTAAAATTCCATGTTTTCTGTTTCTAAAAATTTATTTAATGGAGTATTTAATTTTTGTGTTAATTTATCCTCTACTTTTAGTGGGCGTAGTTCTCTTTCAAGTAAAACCATTTTATGAATAATAGACTGATCCAGAACAAAAGAGAAATTGACAGTATATGACAAAGAAGCACTTAGTAAAGTTTTCCAATTACTTTCAGATTGTAAAATTTCCTCAGTCATTTTCGGAAAATGAAAGTAAATATCTACAAAAAAAATTGTCTTTCCCAATACTGAAAGATAGGCTAAAAAATAACAAAAATTATATCAATAACATACATTGTTAAATGTTTATTATAAAATATTTATCTTTCATATATTTTTATGCTCATTTCTTACAAATTGAATCTAAAGGATGTGAAAATTTGACTTACCATCTATAACTTGTTGATCTGTTAGAGTACGTTCACTCCTTTTAGTAATTTTAGACATTTCTAATATTGAATCACTCTCCCTAATTTGTTGTACTATATTTGCAATAGCATTCATTATTTGGTTTAATTTAGAATAATGTTCATCCATTTTTAAATTTTCAAAAAATTTCGCATCCTCTTGTCTGCGTTTTATTAAAATTTCTTTATCTATAATATATTTATGCCGACATATACATATATGAAAAGAAAATTTTTACTGCATTATTACACAAAATAAACATTTTAATAAAATAATATACTAAAAGACCTTCTAATAATACTTACAATGATTTCGATTCTCTAGTACTGTCTGCATAGAACTTTGGAAATAAGTAGTTTCAAACGCTTCTACACATGTCTGCACAATCGTTAATAGCACTAAATACCAATAAATATGCAGTAGTTTTATTTGCATGATTACTTATTAGAATCTAATCGTAAGTTTAAAATTGGAGTGATCTATTTTCGTAAATGCAAATGTATATATATATTTACTGGCAATGTATAATATAAATGATACGAATTTTCTATATATAAAAACATATAACTATAAGACTGTAATTTAAATATTAACTAGAAAAAAATTGTAAACAAATGCTAACCGTCAAGCCATATAACGTTCATTGTAAGTATAATAATAATATAATGTAAGTTCATTATATGATACGAGCGTTTAGTTATGTAATAATAGAAATAAGGATTTTAACTTTTGTAAATTCTTTATTGAAGAGTTATAATTTGTTTAAAAATGAAAAACTGTTAATCAAAAATTTCTTCTTACAAGCTAAATTAAATTTTGAATATTGTAATAAAAAGAAACTTGGAAAATAATGAACATATACTTGATATATTCGTTAAAAGTTAACTTGTTCAAACGTTGTATTATACCATTGAGAGTCTTCAAAATATCGATTCTTTCAAAAAGAATAAAAAAGTAACTATTTGCTATGGCGGAAACAAATTTGATGTTGGCACATCCTAGTCAAGCATATGCGAAAAAATTATGTCCATTAATCTGATTGATTTAAGAGGAATTCATTACTAATCTGCATTTATAGGTGATATTTGATGAGTTAACGTTAAATACAGTTTTTATTATTCGAGAAAAAAAATTCGGCCCGTGGAGGATTAAAACTTTTAATGGAAAAAAATGAAAATATACGTGTTTATTCAATAATTTATTTGACTTCAAATTTTTGGTGTAATAAATATTATATATTTTATTAAAATTACTAAAGAAATTTTTAAACGTGCATTCTTAATATGTCCAAATTTTACGTTTTGGAGCTTTTCTTATTTTGAATTGTAATTCTTGTTTGTTTTCGTGAAAATGTTTTTTAACTACAGAAATTAGAGCAACAGTAGAGGAATCCAGAATAGTTTCCATTGAATGAGTAAATTTCACAGCTTTACTTAATACATTATGCCAATCAATTTGAACTTCTAAGATCTCTGTAGTTATTTCCGGAAAATTATAATAAATATCTGCGAACCAAGCTGTACATGCTGCTATTGATAGCATGTCTACAATATAAAATAAAAATATATCAACGACTTACAACGTGAAATATTTAATATTACTTTTCTTTTGTATAATTTTAAGTTTATTTTTTGGAAATATATACATGTGGGACGAGCGCCTCCATACCAAATACTTAAATAAGCATTTGTGAAGAGATTGGACGGTGGGCCCTGGATAGCTCAATGGATAAAGAGCAGTCGCTCGGAAAACGAAAGATCCTTAATTCGAGTCCAGGTTCAGTTCAGTCCAACAGTCCAATTTTTTCACGAATTCTACATATATAAAGGATAGAAATATCTAACTTACTGTATATAATATCTTCAGTTGTTGGAATAGGTTCATTGTGTGCACTAGATTCGGCCGCTAACAATATTTTTACAGATTCTTTAATTGTATTTACTATGTCTCGAATAGAATCTTTGATATTTCCAAACTCAAAATATTTGATATTCCCATTTTTAAAAATTTTTACAAATTGTCGATACTCCTCTTTAACTCTTGTAAACTCTTTTTCATCTATAATATATTTATATATATATATATGTATGTATATATATAAATATCATTTTGTTTTTAATTATCATATAAGATAATCATTTAAATAAAGTAATACAATAAATATTAGCTTAAAAATTTAAAGATATTTTTATAGCACGTACATTGTTCTTTATTCTCTAGCATTTCTTCCTCAGCCCTTCCGAGCGAAGTGCCCATGTATTTTATTTTCTGGAAATTTGAAGTTCTCCCATTTATTTGCACAATCGTTAACAACACTAAAAACCACTTAATATACAGAAATTTTCTTTGCATAATGGCCAAACAACGATGTGCACTATATTATTTTAATCTTATTACGATGTATTATATAATAAATATAATTAAGAATAATGTTCTCTCGTAAAAGCCAATGTACTTCTATACTTATATATGTATTTACTTAATGTTTATGATACAAATGAGGACACATGGGAATAGCAAGTATATAAGCTCAATGTAAAATTGATATCAAATATCCTAATGAATAACGTTTATTTAAACTTAATGAAAACATAACTAATATTTACTCTATTCTATTCACACGTTATCACGTGTTACTATTACAGAAAAAACGTTTCTAATTTTTATATAATAATGCTTCTTATTTTATTTTATAAAGAGAATTTTCATTTTGTGAAAGATAATAAATTATTATTTTATTATTATCTTTTTTTCTTCATTCAAGTTTAAATAAAGCATTCGAAGCAAATGAAGAACAAAATTTGTTTTTTCCGAATTTACAACAGAGCAGTACAGGTACGGTAACCATTATTTCTAGAAGAAAATACAGTACAAACAATAAAATTAACTACGTTTTTTTGTTTAAAATAATTATACAGAATAGTACTTTAAAATAAAGTATGAATTATCATTGTAAGTATAGGCAGGTATTGAAACAAAATCAAAATAATTATTATTACAAATAGCAGATATTAAAAAGTGGACAAAATAATTATCTTTAGATGGGAATATCTCAAGAATAAATGATCAGATTGATATAGTCATTTAGATCATTTTTATTCGTAAAATTATAAAATCTCGTAAAAAAATGATCTAGAGAAAAAATTATTACAATTATTAGATGTCGCCCGAATATAATGCAACTTTTTCCTTTGAAGTTTTTTAATAGGAATTTAAACAAAATATGTATTTAATTGTTCACTTTGTCGTGAATTATTTTTATAAAGCATATTAGGTAAGATGGATATAACCAAGAGTGGTACATAGTAGGGGAACATTACTGTTGCATAGAATTTTTATAGTTCATATTTTCGCCATACTTGTCGCTTCGAGCGATACGTACACACACCTTATCAAGCGAAGAGTAAAAAAATAACTAGGAGTGTAATCAGTAGTGAGTACAAACACAAAAACGAGTGATCGTTAAATTGCATATTGTTGATTTAATTATTTGACCAAATAACCTTATAGCAATGGTGACTACGAATGTTAGACTTCGGTCGTGTAATTAAAGATATTGATCATGCTACAATGAAGTTTGTCGAATTTCAAACAACCTTTATCGTTTTTCAATACTTAACTTCTATTTGTATGACACATTTACTTATAAATGTAAAAAATCAAGTAAGTATAATCATCATTTTCAAATATTATATAAATTTGATTTACATTTTAGAGTAATGTTAATTAAATGTTCTTGATAACCTAAAATATTGATACTACTATGATAATCAATATTTTATTATTAATACATATTAATTAGGGTGGCGATATTCTTCTTGAAACGATATCATCTAATGTTACCGAAGATGTAATTATCTTGGAATTTCAACGTTCTGATGGTACACTTGTAACGCAACTAATAGACTTCAAAAATGCAAGTATTTGCTAATATTTGAATAATTATATAATTTAAGTATTGATGAATAATTATTTCTTTACATTATATTTAGGAGGTACAAGTAATAAAGGCATTGGTTCTTGGTGAAGAGGAAAGAGGGCAAAATCAATATCAAGTTATGTGCTTTGTAAATCATTTTTATAAAGTTGATTTTATATCCTCTGATGCTATGTCTAAGCTACGCCAAAAGAACCCAGGCACTGTCCGTGTTGCAGAAGAAGATAAAGGTCATGCCAATTATACTATGGACTTGTTTTTGGATATCTCTCAATCTAAGGATATTTCTAAACATGTAGCTAGTCTTTGTAGCGAAGCAGCTGGTTCAGCTTATACAAGAAACGAAGACATCAAACAATGGATTCAAAGGCCAGGCAAGTTTTAACGATAAAAAAGTATACTTTTAAGTATACTTTCTCAAATATTAACATAATATTGCGTTTATTTATAGTAGGAAATGATAAATTTTATAAATGTAATTATTTTATCAGGTTCTGTAGAGATGTCATTAATGACAGCAGTCTATAATTTTACATCTTCTCCTTTGTCGAATGCTGTAGAGACAAGGTCACCATTTGTCTCTAAATGCGCTGATACATCCAATTTATGGGTACCTTGTACATGTTCTCTAGAACTTTGTATCGGTTGGTATCCGTGTGGATTGAAATTTTGTAAAGGTAAAACTGAAGGTAGAAAAGTACCTAGCACTTATAGATGTGGTATAAAAACTTGTAAAAAATGTTTTATATTTACTTATTACTCGAAAATGAAGCAAAATTGTTTATGGGATGAATGACATATAAGAACGCTATTAGACGTGGATTCAACATGATTTAATACATAATGACACATTTAAATGCATTTTGTGTTTCGTATACAACTATGATAATTCCTATTGAATGAACAATATTCGTTGTTCACTCTCAATTATACATTTTTTCAAGAATTGTTTAGTATGTTTAACAATGAAATGGGCTTTAATTAATTATTTCTACATAAATTTTATTTTTATTGGCGTTAGTTACACTTCAAAAAAATATATCTTTAATGTTAACTTTTGGATAAAAAGTTATGGCACATTATTTTTGTATAATTTAAAGTTGTACTAATTGCAGGGAAACTAGTTTAATTAGCAACACTTAGATCTCAAATGCACAAACTATTAAACATATGGCTCTTTTTTTATATATATGTATGTATATTTTTGAATGGATATATTTGTAATATAGACAAAAAAAAAAAGAAACCATATTTATCCAGGATATATGAGGTAGGATAAATTTACCTCACCTACAGACATTCCGAGTTTCTAACGTTCCATTCCATGCTCATTTATAATATAACACATTAAATTTCTCTTTTCATGTGCACCAGTCTTCTTTACTATTCATTTACTGTATCAATCTGTATCAGTTAATAAAAGTATAACATTCCTAAAATGCTTCGACTTAAGGAGCTATGGTTTTATCAATCTATATGTTTTATAGAATATGTCTATATGATATATTACAAATGATTCATTCAAATTTATACATATAATGTGTTTCGATAATATATGTATACGAGAAAAGATTAAACTGCTACAAGTTGTAAGTCTTTGAAGACACTTTTGTACATAACATGGTAAAGCTGCCATTTTTATATTAAATAATATATTGAGGGTACACTTTCATTTCTTATTGTATATAGTATAATAATAATATATTGAAAATTGAATAAGGATCAAAAATGTGTATGAAAATATTCAAACATCGTGTATATACAAATTTATATTAAATATTAATTACTCTGAATATACAATAAATAATAATATTATATATACAACAGTAATATGTAAAATGTATAAACTATATAAAGTTTAACATAGTTAAAAACTATGAGAAAAAATAAGAGTAAGTTAAGTATATTGGCGTGTTTATAAATGAAATTAATGTATATGTTTTTTAATAAGAGAACATACTACGTATTTATTAGAGCTACATTACTGTAAAAAAAGACTGCGAAATCTGTCCAATGAATAAAAATAAATATCAATGTTCTTTGAGCTTCCTTACAAAATAGGATATATTTATAATACAATAATTTTGAGATAGTGTAGTAAATATAATGAAGCCATTATTGACTTGATTGCTTTAATATTAATATTTTTCTGGATCGTGAGAAGTGACAATTTTTTCGTAAAAATTAAAGTTATTATTTCAGCGTTTTTTAGAGTCCGCTATTATGTTTTTCAAAAATATAATATTAAATTCATAATCAGTGACCCTAAAAACCCCCAAATACAGACTTTTGAAAGGGTTCAAGTACTTTTTAATGAAAATTTTCGTCTTTTTCAGTCCGCCATTTTGTTTTTCAACAAAATAATAATAGATTCGTAATCAGCGATCTCGAAAATCCTAATATACCGACTTCAAAAAAGATTGAATAAATTTTATATAAAGACGTTCGCTATTTTTTATTTTTTTAAATAATATCAAATTCGTAATCAGCGACCTCGAAAGTCCTGAAATAATAATTTTCAATAAAATGGAACCAAATCTACTAGGTAGTGTGCATTGTACATCGTTTCACGATAAATAATATCGCGAGTTTTTAAAAGTTATTAAGTAAAAATAACTTGTAGAGTCACGTATATGATATTCAATTTTTATGGTTTTTAATATTTTGCATAATAGATTTACCACATTTATTTGTGTAAATTTTAATATACTCGTATATTACTAATATGTATTTATACTAATATATACTTGTGTTTTTGCTTTATTCATTTATGCAATAATCACAAATCTTGACAGTCGATTACAGTATTTGGTACATACTCCTATTAGTATATAAGTTTAGAAAATACGTGGTTAAACTGGGGTGTCGGAGGTCCTCTCTAGTTTAAAATTTTGTACTCTGATGGCATGTGTTTGTGTGTATGTTTGCTTTTTTAAAATATAGGTAGTAAATTTAAAGTAAGTAAAAGTAGGTAACATTCTTTTTTAAGCGAATGTGTAAACTTTAATTTTAAGTTAGTAGAACTCGGAAACGGCACTGGGTTTGTTTCCCTTCAGGAGTGGAAGTTCCCGCCTCTGGGATTATACAAAATTGTCATAAATTATATCTCTTATAATTTCGAAAGAGATTCATTTCTATTTCGATTCTATCTCAAACAAGATAGAATCTCTAACAATCCCTTATATAAAAATATAAGTTTTATGTATATTATTTAATGTCAGTAGTTTTATTAAGATGTTATCAATTACACAATAATAAAATAATAGTCTTTTAAGATTTTTACAGCCTTAGAGCATTAATTAGGCCTGATATAACAATCAAGGGATGAATTTATTCATTTTGGAATGAACTAATATTTGTATCGAATTGTGCGATCAATTTCGGGCAAATGTAAGGTATGTAATAGTTAGTTTGTGTGCATACGAGGTTAGAAGCAACTGCCAGGCGTACTTTTTTTATAGGTGAGCTGTTTCTGGCAATCAACTGCAATTCTCTAAAAGGATGCAATGCCAATAAGAAACCGCTGTAAGGGGTATCGCACTGCAATCGGCATAAACTCGTCTGCTGCGTATGATGCCATCAAACGCGTGGGCGTATGAATTGTTTGATTATATACAGATGTTCGTTTATTTTTTGGCTACGAAAACAACGCAAATTGTTTGACATACAAATATTGAGGATTCGAGTTTTCCTGATAAATTGTGTTAATTAATTTAAAATCAACAAAATCGGTTCCACAACAAAATACATATGCACATACATGTATAACTATAATATATATATTTTATAATATTTTTATTGAATATCTAATGTATAATAACGGTAAACATTTTAAGCATTCTAATGCGTTTACAAAAGGTTTATTAAAAATAAGAAAATGTAAGGGAGAAATAGTATTACGATATTTCTCCATATCGATTTCGATAGATTACGTTTGCGTCAGAAGTTTGCGATTTGTTTCGCAAAGTGTCTAGCGTGCAATGGATTTCAATTAAGCATCGCTATATAGCCTTTTCGAATTAATAGATGATTGGTAATGATCTATTAACACTGATAAAAATGTCTCAGCGTTGCTATTAATTAGTTTACGAACGCTCACCATCGGTATAACGTTTTCATCGGTAGAGTAAGTTGACAGACGTACATTTGTCTCTTCGGATCGATCATTCGGTATCTCGCTTTGGTGATACTTGCTTTAATATCATCATTAAATTTCTGATACCTACATACATTAGTGCGTACAATCATGTGGGAGAGCAACGATGACATGGTAATTATCTTTCGCGCATCGAAATATAATATACGATAATTTAGAAAAGTTAAAATTCACTAAATCTCTTTGAACGTTTAATCTTTTATTTTTGCAGCAAGAAATTGATCTTAGCAAGGATCAACTTAAGCGTGAGTATTAAATATTTGGTATAACATTAATCGTTATTCGATTATTCGTAATAAAATGTATTGTACGTAAAACCTGACAGATCTTAGAATGGCATTCGACACATTCGATCCCGAAAAAAAAGGCGCTATTCAAACCTCGATGGTTGGAACAATTTTAGAAATGTTAGGACACGAAATAAGAGGTGTTAATTTGCAAGACATGATCGCAAATTATGATTTATGGGGTGCGTTTAATTCTTTCATATAAAGTTTACTCAATCATTTTATACTTTTCGATTCTTAAAGGTATAGAATGAAAAAGTAATTCAATTATTTTTCCTTTTTCGATGAAAAATTCAAAACAATTCAATGTCGATATAGGATCGGGAGAGTTAAAATTCGACGATTTCACCAAATTGGCATCTCGTTTTATGGAAGAGGACACGGACACGGAAGCAATGAAAGAGGAACTTAGGGAAGCTTTTCGAATTTACGATAAAGAAGGAAACGGTTATATCACTACCGATGTCTTCCGAGACATTCTTCATGAGCTGGACGACCAACTGTCCCCGGAGGAACTTGACATGATTATAGAGGAAGTGGACACTGATGGATCTGGCACGCTTGACTTTGAAGGTGAAAAGACGGCTTTTTTATTTTAAAATTGCTCGTTTGTACAGTACGCAGGTTTGTCTCTCTTCGATTTATCCTAGAGATAAAATTGATGATTTATACTTCAGAATTCATGGAGGTCATGACGGGATAAATGATGAGCTTCTCGCCAGAATTAGCAACATCCACCAATGCGGACGAGAAGACGAGAAACATCTTGTCACGTGTACATATAGGGACATGTCTGTTTTTTCGAATGTATGTGTGTGCGCGTATGAGTGTACGTTCGGCAGCATGTTCCTTGATCAAATTATGTATTATTTAAAGTTTGATTATATGCAGTTGAAATCTGTGCCTTTTAATTTTCCAGGATTGATTTTAGAGTTTTAACAAACTCCTCTCTCGAAAGATCTTGAAGTCAATAGAAATACATCTTGGTGCATTTAACAAAGTTGAAATTTCATGAAATTCTATAGTTTGATCAATAAACATATTTTGCTGACACGTTAAACAATCATTATATAAAGTATATAGAATTACTTTAAACTAATGTAAACTTTTATTTGAATTTAATATGAACTCTTATTTAAAAACATATGAACAAGTAATGTGTGTGAATTTAGAAAAAATTTAATAAAGAGATAAAAATCGTAAAACATTACACTATTATTGCTTTTGATGAAATAATTTCCATATCATCTAAATACATAATAACTATTTAATGTACCTACACACGTATATATCATAATTATTAAGTTTAGAGTGACGTTCACTAATTTTTTAATAATTGTATTTATATAAAATATTCGACTATTTAATTTTTTTGTTTTACCTTTAAAAAAGGTTGAACAAAAGTAGAAAGAAATATAACATCGACATAGTGACGACAGTAAGTTCTGCAGTTTGTCAGATCTAACGATAGATTATCCACCCATGTATTCACCAACTTCCACTCGGCTTTTACGAGCTTATAATTAGCGACCTCTAAGAATAAAGTACCTGCAGTTATTACGTAGAACCTTCTTAGATTCGTCCCAAGATTGTGTTTCCGGCGTAAAGCCAACTATGTCTATTGTCATAGCTTTCATCTGACACGTGTCTCACACAAATGTAATAAACTAATGCCACTTAGTAAAGTAATACGTTTTTGGCTTGATATCATATTCTTGCTGACATTTAACGTTATGAACTATTAATTATAAGTTAATAATTATACTTTAGTTGTAAAAATGCAAAGAAGCGCAAATTTCATTTGCCGATAATATCCATAAATATGATAAACTTCATTTCGATCTAATTACTATAACTTTGTTAACGGAAGTAAATGAATAAATTGTACACGATTCTGAATTTTGTAAATAAATTGAGGATCAATTTGTATGAAATTCCAAAAATCTATTAAAAATAATTACACCTAAAATACGCTTAATAAAATTTAACAGATTAAATTCTATTATAGATCGTTGATCGTTGATATCTCTATAAAAGCAATTACGATGAATAGCAGGGTTGCGTCAGAATATAACTAAAAGCTTTCATCTACATGTATATATTAACTATATAGAAAATATATTCAAACTCCGATTTATTAAGTAGTGCTCGTGTATAATTAAAAAGTAAACATATATACATTTAAATAAGTAGGTATATACATTTGTTTTCATCGACTCCGTCCGTCAATGAAATAAAAATACAAAATAAATATTAAAATATAATAAATATGCAATAGCACCAAAAAATGTATATTATTTATAAACGCGTAAATTAATACTCTTAGAAATAGTTAATGACAAACATTCCAAGTTCGATGATTTCCAATTAGATCCATGCAGAAACAATATTTGTAAGACTTAGCAACTTGTTCTGCTTAATTTCGTGTATATTATCGTTACTATACGTTGCACAACTCGATAACGGATTGTAATCGATTGAACGCATCGGAACATGAGGATTTATGAAAGTAAAGAGAAACACTCGTGCGAACACTTGATGTTGCAAGCAAGGAACCATTAGCGCGGCGATCTATTGGTACAATTGTGATGTGTTTAAGGAAATAGGGAGTGGGGGGTACGTCCTCGATGAATTTGAAAACCGCTAGATTCGAGGATTTGTAGATATTAGCATGCACAATTATGTGCCAGATCTGCGATATGACCACTTAAAACAGAAGTCCACGGCCAGAATTTAGTGCATACTCCGATAACCCGTGGACGTGAACGTGTCAACTGACAAGCGTGTGGTTTTAACATTTGAACATCTAAGTATCAAAATCTCATCATGGTAAGTAGTATTTTTAGTTTTAGAATTAAATCTATAATGAATAGAAAAGAATTATAAAGAAATCTCTATTCCGTTAATAGGATGATCTGACAAAGGACCAAATTGCGCGTAAGTACGAATATAAGATTTCAAAATCAATAAAAATTGATTTTTCTTATAATCGATCGACGCGTCTTTTAATATTTCATATTATTTAAGTGTTGAAGAAAGCATTCAGCGCGTTTGATCATGAAAAAAAGGGATGCATCGGCACCGACATGGTTGGCACAATTCTGACGATGCTGGGTTACGAGTTGAGTGAAAAAACACTCCAAGAAATCATCAAGGAGGTGGACGAAGATGGTGCGTGTTTAAAATATGCCAAAGGATAGATATTGTTTTTTTTTTACCGTGTACTTTATTTGTTTTTATCTTGATTTTATTCTCCTAGGTTCCGGCGAACTTGAATTCGAAGAATTCTGCACCTTAGCTGCGAGATTTTTAGTAGAAGAAGATACGGAGGCAATGCAACAAGAATTACGCGAAGCATTCCGTTTATATGACAAAGAGGGTAATGGTTACATTACAACCGCGGTATTTCGTGACATTCTTCATGAACTGGACGACAAGTTGACGAACGAGGAATTAGATTTGATGATCGAGGAAATTGATGCTGATGGTTCAGGAACTCTCGATTTTGATGGTAATATTAATTATATATTTCATTTAAGTAATAATGTGTTTCATGGAGAAGTGGTTTAAATTTAATGACTCTTATAATAATCAACAACTTGACCCGATCTGATCAAAGAAGAATCATTTTACTTTACAGAGTTTATGGAAGTCATGACTGGTGGTGACGATTAGCAAGTGGTCGTTTAAATTTTTTGAAGACCACGTTTGAACACGTAATTGGCAGCGATCATGGGAATGTTGGCGTATTCATATTTTCTTAAACTTGGCAATAGTTAACACGGTGAAGATCGTGCGCGTGGAAAGAAAAGCCAAGAGATAAGTTGTTATAAATTATTATGTTAACTTGTCTCTGTCGTTCGTTCGACCCCTGGCGCCTACCCTTTTTTACTTTTAGTTTTACGCTTGAAAATGTAATCCCTGATAATCTTTTCTATGGAAAGCAAGTTTACGAATTACCTTGAAGATTCTTTTAGAATAAGTTTACGTACTTACGTAATTTTAATAGAGAAACAATTTGAATTGTAGAATCTCTTCAGTATCTGCTGGTCACATTCCTGTTCTCGTTTTACATTCAATATATACAAGAACGTAGAAATATTAAATAAAACGTCATATGAATACGAAAGACTATCGTATTATATTATAATAAATATCTATAAATAGTTGACGAATTTATTATATTCCCTACTATTCGTAAATTACACATACTATGTATAACTTACGAATATTGCAGTGATCCACGAAAAAAGGAAAAGAGCCAAGAATAAGAAAAATAATAATGAACGTTGGCGAAATATTCAAAGTGTTAACTTGTGAAATACAATCCGCTTGCTTTTTTTGGACCATTGGATATCAATGCTATTATTGTATGTTCAAATAAATTATAATATATTGTTCGATGGAAAGTTCCTAGGTAGGCAAGTTTACTATTATATTTCATTTTTCATCCGAATATATTTGTACGCGTTAAATGGTGGTTAATTAAATTAAGAAATTTAATATAAATTGACGGTAAATTTTATTAATGCGCTACTTACATATATACATGCGACATTTCATCGATCAGAGTATAAACATTTCATTAAATTTTTATTCGCATTAAATTAATAGAGAATATCACCTGATCAATGATGCTTCAATATTTTACAATATACTTATCTACACATTCATTAAATTTATACATATAGATGATCTTTTAATAACGAGATTTCAATAAATGAACAAAATCCTACGACTCGATCAACAAGTGTTTTAATTGAGAAGCTTTTATCGATCTTTCTATTTTTCTATTGAAATTTCAACTAGATTAACTATACATTACACTTATATTACAATTACATTAAGGCTCTTAAGAGTATTTTTGATTTTTTTCTTCAATTATTTAATCGTAAATTATAGAAGGAATTATTTTCACGAAACATAAATCTCTTACATAAAAAAAAAAAGAAAAAAAAAAAATATTTAAAGATAAAAAGAGAGAAATGGAAGACATTTATAAATTAGAACTATTTACACAAAGTAACTCGTGTATTCGTGAGGCATGACACCTCTCCTCGGATAAAACGTATGACTCGTTGCATACTCTAAAAGATTCGTGATCGAGCTCATGTAAACATCAGCGAATCTGAAAAGTCTTCTTGAGAAATAGGTTGGATTGTGATACGTTCTGAAAACCGAGCCGAACTGTTGATTAAATACACACTTTATTTCATTTCTTAATCGATCGCGTTCCATCATCCATTTATTAAGTTCGTCCTGTACTTCTGGACCCTCATAATCTTGATGGTCTTCTATCAAACCGGTCAACATTTGAAGCCAATTTGCATTCTCCTTAAATTTTGGTTGATTAAGCGTTTCAATTTCGTGCTGTAAATTAAGATACATTAATTAAGTATTTTATATATGTGTGTATATATATATATATATATTATTTCGTTTACACTTTTGCGTTAATTAACTTTTAGCGTTCATTGCCTTAGCTGCTGCTATTGTTTAATACGAAAGCGTATGCGAAAGAAAATATTCGTAGTTAATAAAGAATTGCTGGAGAAATAATTCAATGAACGCATATTCTCAAGAATTTTCGAATATGATTTTCTCGGAAAGAAAAAAAAAAATTGTACATTCTTTTTTTCGACTCATTTTGACATATAGAATCAATTAGCTTTCTACCTGATAGATGATGTTTTGTAAACTTATATATACTTATATCTTTAGTGGAAATCATTATACATTTATTCTATATAAAAGATTTTATATATTTACAGTTAATTCCTTAATTATTGCACCGGTTCTCCAACCATGTTCCAGAGTTACATCCGCCAAATCACTGTACGGGTGATCACCAAAATACAATACTTGATGTCCTCGCCATCCTGTCATATCTTGCAGCTGTTTAACCGTACCCTATTATTTTTGAAAAATAATTTTTACGATCATTTTATTCTCATACGAAATGAATCTTATACAGATAAAATATTACTTACTTCTAAGTATATGATACCTTTCCGAAGTTTGGTTACACGATCCCATAGTTGAGTTTTCTTCACCTCATCGTAAATTCGTAATGGCCGTGATTCCTCCGTGAAAAATCTTGGCTTTCTCGCTTGCACGATCACCACGTCGAAGTAATCCTTCCAATTATCGCCAACCAGGAATTTCATGCCTTTATCTCTGGAAAAATATGATTTATTTCTCATGACGCGATTAATAACAACGAAAAATGAATACAATATTTTGCAAACTATAATAGAATATTACACAAAATGAAATGGACTGTTTGTCACCAAGAACATATTTTTGTCAGCATTTTTGAGCCGCTCGAAGAACCTCCTCAAATCTTTGTTTTGTTCCAGATATTCGGCTACGTTTTCTGTTACCATACCATGCATTATGGGATGACAACTTTGTACAGAATTCTGTATCGCATAAAATAACAATCCATTAATTTAACGAAATACCATTGCGTTAAAAGTAATTCAAACGTGTCGCGGCATGTTACACCGTTCTTTTACTTTACCTTAACGTCTCGGAAAAGTATTTCTGGATGATAATCGATATGATTTCTTAAAAAGTATTCCGTAACGTTGCATAGTAAACCCATTTCCGGTACGGAAAAGAGATCTGCTAGTTGTACCATTTTTGTTCGATGAAAACCATCCTTTAATTAAAAAGAAATTGTTTTTATGTTCAAACGCGAATCAATTTGAAATAACATCAAACTAGAAATGTATTTACCTTATGCTATCCCCATCCCATAAGGAATCATCGACAATGCATACAAATATAAAATTTGACTTTAATTATATCATTATGTTTTTTTTTTTTATAATGAAAATTTATTTCATATTAATGGTTCTCGTATAAATGCGGTTAATAAATAAAATCGATGAGACTTCAAAGTTTATAGAGAAAAAGAAAGAGAGAGATGTATATATATATGTATATATTAGATTATATATATTAGAGTAATGAAAATTACGAAGTAATGTGAAAGAGATCGCATTGTATTAGAGTGATTAGTAGAAAAATAAGTATAAATAAGAATCGATGAACATTAAAGAGAATTTAACTTGGTAACCTGTGAATGTTTGTGAGGTGCTTCAACATAAGCTATTGGAATTATTCTATTCTTGTAGAGCCTCAGAACTTCGTCGTCCGGTAACGGGTGTAGACCTCGATAAACAGTACCAAACTGAATTTGTAGGAAACTATCCAGTTTCAGCAATAAACCCTTCTCGATGTCGTAATGAAGTCCACGAACAGCAAAATCCTCTTTGTATTCGAGTTCTCTGATTTCTTCTGGATACTTGGTAATTATGTTTTCCATTTTAGTTATTTCAATATTAATTTGAAATGAATAACTTAAAACAATACCTTGTATTTTTCTATTAACATGTCTCGTCCTAAATTATAAAGTAGATAGTCCATCGAAGGCTTGTAACAAGCAAGAGTGTAATCATAATCGAATCCATATACTTGAACTTCCTTTAGATCCAACTCGTTGCAAGCAAAGACACCCTTAGGATTTACATCTTGTGGAAGCTTCTTTGCTGTGTAAATAAAGTTATTTACAAACCATTATTTTTTTAACAGATATATTTTTATAAGAAATAGTATCTATCGAAAATAAGTCGTTTCAAAGATCGTTACCCTATAAAATGTATGTTTATAATGTGCAAGTACGATGTACACATAATAGGCACAATGTGTATGTGCGTGCATGAATATGTAACTTGTTTGCGTTTAATATTATACATACGTGTACAATTTGCATGTTATATTTGGTATAAGAATAGTATTGTCCATATATATACAAGAGTTGCATATAAGATATCTGTTGTATATGTCGTATAATATTGTGTCCAGGAAAACTTGAAAATAATTCCTTTTGCTCGACGTGGCACGTTGTTTACGGTGGGTCAGAATCGCGAATCAGGCCACCGGATCCATAATGCAATTTAACATTATTACGGAACGCGCACTGACTAAATAAAGAAAGCGAGCCCATCTCGCCATCGTATTTCTCTTTTGCCTGATATTTCATTTTTTTTTCTTCTTTACATCCAAATGCAGCTAAAGTGTAAAAGAAGAAGAGAAAGAAAAGAAACTTGGCTTGATATCGAACCGAGCCATTAAGGTGCTTATCTCGTAACATAAACCGTACAATTCTGAGATGAAGGTCACACGGATGTCGATGTAAAAAATTCAATCTCTTTTTTCTTCTATGTGTTTCCATGATTCGACACAAGAGATTCAATAAATTCATTTTTTTTTTTATTAACAACAATATCGATATATAGTATGCCAAATAAGAGAGATTTAACGAATCTGTTATACAGATTTACAAGATATATAACTCGAAGATCCAAGTAATATTTAAATGGAAGTATTTTTAATTAATTAACTGCATCGGCAAGAACGAATTTTGTCAACAATATACACAACGTGTAATTTAAATATAATACATCTATGTATTATGCATAAAGTATATATAATATATCCCAGCATATATATTCGCTAAATTACGAGGGGTTTGCTTCGATGGTGTAGTATTACATGTCACTAACGAGTATACGTAATCTCTTTGCAAACAAGAATATTTATGAGAATCACCGTCAATTGGCTTTGTGAGACTAATACTTGGGTATACGTTATAATTTTCACTTGGAAACAAGATCTCGAAACGCTTTCCATTAAACGTGTTTCATATCGTAATTTTCATTGTTCTAATTAAATGTTACATACTACTTTGAATTAGAATAATAATATAAAAGATTTAATATATATTATAATTCTGTAAAATTTGGCAAAGAACAAGGAAAGAATGGAAAAATAATTTTTCAAGTTTGCCGCAAATAATATAAGGTAGTCTGGATTGTTGACGTTAAGAGGTGATGCGCATGCGCAATAGTAAATATATACGAAAAGGAAAAGTGGCGCCTTAGAGAAGACATATTCAGCGCCATAGTTGCGTGACAAGTAGTATAAGGTTGGGTTAGGCAAGATGGCAGTGAAAGAGTTGCTATGGTATACTCACATTTGCACTTCTCCAACATTTTCAGGTAATTTCCGCGCATGTCATGTCGAGTAACTTGGCCACGATTGATCGCACGATCACCGATCGATCGGATTCTTTTGTCGACATTGATGCGACAAAGTAAAAGACGACGAGACAAGTAGTTAGAGCTTGTAACTTGATACGACGTCGCGACACCGACGGCAGTCCTAGCGTGCAACATTACGAATAACTACTATTGGTGAACGAGTTAATAATTCGGACGCAACGCTCCGAGTCTATTGGCGCGGCTGATGCCGCGGCAAATTTGAATTTCTTCTATTTCTTCCTCTTCTCTTCCGGTTCCTCTTGGACTTTTTCGTTTTCGTCTTTGTTTGTCTTGATGTATCTTGAAATCTGAAAAAGTATTCCCAATCAAAATTGACATAATTTATTAATAATCAAATTGTATATATATCCCTTCTATTTATGATAATATAATAGCTTTTAGAAATATACAAAATTACTCTACTTTGTTACTTTTATATATAATGTAATCTAATGCTTACGCTCGACAAACTTTTTGGTTTGGATTTATAATAATAAATAAGAAATGTCAATGTATGGATAATAATACACTTTTATTATATTTTTTAAAATTATATTTGGCTGTTGTGCTGTTGCGTTTTCATTACGCTACCATTTTTAACGCTTGTACCAAATCGATCGAAGGCCAAATGTTTACATTAGTTAGAATTACCTTATATTAGATAAATATTATAAAGGGCAATGAATCTGAAAGCATTAACGAAATAAAATATTTGTAATTAATAGTAGAGATAATTCAGTGTAGGCGTACTTGACTAATTAAATTTGTAAGCAAAATTCTCTCGAAAATAGGTATATTTGATCGATCTATATTCTATTTAATAATTTTTGAAATATTTTTCACACCGCACTGTGTTTTTAAATAACCTGAATGAATCGTTGCATATATAACAATTTAAAATTTTGTTGATTTGTTACCAGACCGAAAATATATATGTATTCGAATTAGAAGGTGAACATGCCTGTTGATAGAGAGAACGTGTTAATGAGTTTGTTTACACGAAAATGATGTACTTGTAAGAATGATAAAAGATGGCGTCGAAATGAAGCGCGTTACGTGACCTTGTTGCGATATGCTTGATCTAATTTGTTCTAGGCATATTATGCTACTCGCGTTACGCAATTCTTTAGACGTCATAGATTATGACAGATCATGTTATAATACGTAGGCATCGTGCTGGTAACCGCAGTATCGTATGCGACGCGGTAGCGATCACATGCATACGAAATATGCAACAAAACAACAGTTTCGATTTAACTAACAATTATATTTTATCTTTCTCAACGTTCTTCGCGATCTTTAATTATTTATTTCATTTTTTTTTCAACGTGTATAATATACGTTACCTAAAGATCAATTAGCAACGAATATTATAGTTATATATGTACATATATTTAAATATTCTTATCAGTTCGTTATTTTGATACGAAGAAAGAATCGTAAAGAGAGGAAGAGGTGTAAGTGTCTCGCGTGTACGTTCACTTTTGTTCGCGACTATTGAACCCCCTTGTATCTTACCCCCACCCCCTTATATCTCACAGAAAGATGCGTGGATCCAAATTGTCATCTTCTTTTTTGTATCTTTTTTTTTTTTTGTTCTTCTCTCGCGAACACGAGGCCACGCCGCGGTCCGTTTATAAACGCAGAACTCACGCAATATTGTTGAACAAAATGCCTGTGTCAAGAGTCCTCCCGCTCGTCGATTTACCAACTGCCGTACGTCCAAGTGTTCATTCCTGGCTCTGCTTCCTCTCTCGTACGTTTCTCTCTCGTTCCCTCTTTCTCTCTCTGTCTCTCTTCCTTTCCCTCTTCCTCTCCCTCCTCCATCCTCTAACGTACGACCTTTCTCTCTCGATGCGTTACAATTGCCTCTCTCTCTATCTCTCTCGATTCTCGTCTCCCTCGAAAGAGACACACAGGCTATTTATATCTTTCAGTCTTTCGATCTTCGAATTCCAAGACACACCACCTGGCCCTGACTTTGAAGCCTGATAAGTGTTCGTCTCTACGCATGTCTATCGCAACAAGCAATTGTCACTTATTTCTTTTACTATTATGATTTCTGTCGATACAATTGTGTCTTAGATTATAATTAGAATTGAAAGGAAATGTTTAAAATCTTGCAATAAAATGCGAATAAATGTCGAAGAGCTTTTTTTTCTTTAGCTGCCCAAAGGAAAATCATCTTGGAGAAAATGTTTCAATCTGTTTAATACCTTGTTTTCTTAGATTTGTTACACACTATTGTTTAATATTAAGAGTAACCATATAACCTTTATATATATTTTAAAATAATATTAATAATAACGTGTTTTAGGGTCAAAGAAACTACTCATAATCATCTTTTTTTTGTTATTTTTTCCTGAACAATTATTAAGAAGTATTAGCCAATGTATTATATACATACATACACGTGTATTTCATTTCTTTCCGTTCGCGTAAATAATATTACGATGACAATAGCAACATATTAGACTAAATCTTAAATCGTCAAGTAGCTCGTTGACACGTAGAACATTCTCCTATTATTGTATTCATCGAAATATTATTCAGAAAAGTCTATAAAAGTTGGTAAAATGTTGATGACAATGATGTTGTAATATTATTTTGTACATAATGACGAAAAAAAAACATAATTATGAGTTATAGGAAAAAGTTGAATAAGAAAAATAAGAATGGAAATGGAAAAACAATAGTTGTCATCGTCCAATCGATCGATCGATCGATTCTGTGGTTCAGAGCGCAACCGTACTTTGCCATATGTAGTCATTCCGTTGCTACCAGTGGAACGCGACCCCATTACCTTAATCTTTTACCGGTTGCCGGTCGTCGTACTTCGCGTGAATTTGTTTTTGATTGGCGCACCTCTACGACCAGTCGATTATACGATTTTCACTGTCGTCCGTCCGTGCGTATTCTTTTTTGTATTTCAAATTTTCTCCTTTCGTAATTATATAGAAAATGAACATTGAACAATTAATAGTTGTGTGTCGTTAGGAAGGAAGTCAATCGAAATACTATTGTAATACGTTGTTTTCATATCGAAAGAAAAGAAAATTTGATTATCTAACAAAAGACACATTTTTATTCTTCTTCATCTTTTATTTCCTATTGGTGGAGCAATAATAATTAATAATTATTCCCGTAGTATTTCTCGCAGGTGCGATCGTTCATTTTCCATATGAAGAGAAGCCGTCACTCGTGTATCTAGAACGCGGTGATCGTAAGAAAAATGGACCTAGATGTTTCGCCACTGATCTCGACCGGTTTCTTCAACGCCAAAAGCGGCTCGCACGCGTGATCAAATTTTCTTAATCGTTAAGGAAGTTTACACATGGTCATTCTATGCAGGTACATAAGATACATATACACGTATATCAAAATATCGGAAGGACTTCCTACGATGATATTGGCTTATCATCTCGCATGACAATAAAAACCATCATGGAGGTATCTTGCGTGCTACTTCAAAGTAGGAGTCTTGAAACGGTACTGACACATGGATGCGGTAATGAAGGAGAATCGCTAATTAACGTTTATCTCACACCTCTCTCTTTCTCTCTATTACACTCATACAAAATTTAACACATACATATATTTCATGATGCTCGATAAAACAGCTCTAACGGGAAATGAGATTTCGGTATGGTTTTTTTTTATGATTCAAAATCCTATCGAAATTCTCGTCTATCCCGTTCGACGTCACATTCGGCAATTAACTACGCGAGGTGTGGGTATTCAATTTAAATATAGTAGTTGAAAACAATCTTTTTGTCAATAGAAATATTATATTATAAAATATTCATTTTCTTGATATACACGTGTGTGTTTCTTCATGCAAATAATATAATTAAAGTTTAATATCTCGATAATAATGATAATAATGTTACAAACAGTATTGTCCAAGTATAACGCGAAATAAATATTTTTGTAGTTTTGGTTTATTTTTCAATTGAAATTTGGAAAATGTGAAAATTTGGAAGGACTATGATTTAACGACTACTAACAACATGTCGACATCGTCGATCGCGCAACGCTCGTGAATGTCAGGAAGACAGAAGAACGCAGATAGCTAGAGGCACTGTTCTGCTGACCTACTCCACGATTATCACTCACTACAGTCGATCGCGTCGTCGTCGTCGTAAGCCAACTACAGGTGCGTGTGCGTTAACTAGCCTTGCCAACTATATCTTTATACATATATATATATATTGTATACTTATATACCTATGTATCATGCTCTAAGAAAAGGAGGACGCACTCCGCGGGGACTTAATCAAATAAACGGAGAGCTATTTTATTCAGCGATCGTTCAATCCTCTTCCTTCATTATTCTCTTCATTCTCATTTCGACGTAATTTAGAAATACACCGTGTGTACGTAATCTATCTATAATGCGTAATTTAATTAACGTGGTAAAAGACTCGTTAATCGTATTGATAATATTGTTTTAGCAACTTTCGATGGTACATTATTTTGCTATATATTGTATAATATGTACATAGATCCAAGCTGAGAAGATCATAAATGTTTATAATCGATTTAAAACGTAATATTGTATTATTGTGATATTCTTCAATCTTCATCGTATTTCACGGAGAAAACATGATGGATTGCTTCTCGATGATTCACCGATTAAACGCGATAACGGTGTACGAAACACATGAAGTATGTTTATCATGTATTATTATTAATTCTCTCCCTTTTTATTTCACCCATTCTTCTTTCCGGCCGAACATAGAGCTGTTGATCGTCACAGGTTCGCCGTGTGGTCTGGTAACCTTGTTGGGATAACAACGTTCGATTCCAAGATTTCTTTCCAACAACTTTCTAGAAGACAAAAAGCAGTCCCATTTGGTTATACAGAAAATTCGGCGATCACTTTTTGCCTTTTTCTTTTTTTTTTTTTTTCGTACGACCTGACGAGTACATCCTTTCTGACTTCTGCTTTCTATTCTATATTTTCTCTCTTTCTCTCTATCTCTTTTTACCTTTCTCTCTATCCACGTTGTTAGGCTTATTTCGTTTCCTTTTCAGTTTAACATTCAATAATCATAGTCATTTATGCATCGTGCTCGGTTATTTCTTCTTCACTTCAATCAGTAACTATGTATTTATTATGTTGAATTAATCGAACGTCAATTTTGATTCTGTGTATCTTTATGATCAATCATAAGTCGTTTTATTTATTAGCGGCTAGAGAACATTTTCAAAGTATATGTGGGAGAAAAAATATACATAATTATATTAAATTCTATATATATATTTAATAAATAAAGTAGAGTGTTAAGTTAAAGGAAAGAATTCGTTTGATTCCTATTATCTATAAGTATGTAACACGATCGATAAAGATAATATGTAAAAAGAAATTGGAATGACGGTCAAGGTGATTAAATCATATTTACATTTATATATATATTCTACATAATAGACAGTTTGGAATTCGTTTGAAAGCGGAGACCAATTAGGACGAGCTGAGATTTTCTGTAGATCGATCTTGGCTTCTTTTAGGAATCTAAGAGAGACCTTGACACACAGAGAGAAGTAACCACGTGCAGTAGAAGGGTGACTTCGTGGCAATGTCCTATGAAGAAAGGAATTTTTCTCGCTGGCTTAATCGGACTATAGAATTTTGTTTTATTTAGAATATACAAGCGTATTATCGTGTAACATAAAGAATTTCAATGACGCAAGACTCTTTCATTTACCTGTCATCACTTCGTTCTTTAATCTTTCTTTTTGTATCGTAATATTTATCGTAATATCCAAGATTCGTAGAATAAAGTGAATTTACGCGCTCGAAGAAAGTTTTCACTTGACTTTTTTGCCATTCAATTTTACGATCATGTCCAATTCAATTTTATGCGATATCTCTATATAAAAACGTTAGATATGTGTTATATATATGTTACCGTCAAAGTCAGAAATCAGTCATTGCTAGTTATTCCTCGGCATTACTATGAATGCAAAGAGCCTTCAGACGAAGTCGGAAATAAGACTTTTTGGAGAGTTTTTCCTAGGCATCGAACATAATACTTTTAAACAACGTTGAAAAGAATACATCTTCGGGACAGGCACACACAGCCATACGCAACCCCTCCCCCCCAAAACAACCCATACAGGTAAAGAACATTTCGTTCTAAACCTGTGTATAGAAACTTTTCAAAGAAATATCAGAGATTGCAATGCTGTAAATTGTACAACTTTGCAATTTTTTTGAAAAGTTTCGGTAAATATTTTTTATGCTAAAAGTGAATAGATTTTAATAGAACTTTAACACATTAATATTCCAAATATACTGATATGTTACATTTTTTTAATTAATCTTCTTTATTATCATATATTTTTGAACAAGTCACTACATTTAAATATCATTTGAATACTTTTAACCGAGAAATAAAGAGATGCTTTCACTCAAAATTTAAGTAATCTCGTTTTTGGAAAATGCCAATAATTGTTAGAAAAATTGGATGAAAATGAAAAATAAATGATTATGATTATAAAATGAAAAAAAAAACAAATAGTAATTATTAGTAGTCGATTTAAAAGTAAAAGAAAGGTAGAGAAAGAAAGAGAAGAAGAAGAGGAGGAAGAAGAAGAAGAAGAAGAAGAAGAAAAAGAAGAAGAAAAAGGAAGGAAGGTCGTAGAATGAAGCAATCCTCATGATTCTCAGCACCTCTTGTGCTCACAAACGGTACGAGGAGAAAGTTTCGATGGCAGGAAGTGAAGTAGGCCACGACTTTGACCGCTCACAAGGTC